TGAAAGTCCATGAGGCCTTCGAAGACCTCAACATAATCCTTCGGGTCCTTAGACCCATCATAAGGTTTCATAGTGGGAGTTTTGAACTTTGGAGGAATTGGGGCCTCCAGGATGTCCGAGGTGAATGGCGATTCTCCCAAGTCGCCATCATCAAACGAGCACTCTTTCTTCTCGCATCTGGCCTTGAGCGCCTCGATCTGCTCGTCGAACCTGTGCTTCATCAGGTCGAACTCTTCCCTGGTGATCACAGCTTCTGGTGTTAGAGGCTTATACTTTGATTGAGCCTTGAGGTCAGAATTGGAGAACTATCGGGAGTAGGACGGAGAGTCTTCTGGCTCCCGAGATGCTCTCTTCTTCTTATCAGTGAGGTGCTTTCTCAGATCGTTATCCCGCAAGCTGTAATCCACCCCCTCATTGTTGGGAACGGGCTCGCGGTCGCCAGGGTGGAAAGATGGAACCTGGCCTTCCCTCTCTCCGGGTGCGCCTGAGACCCTGGAGGGAGACACTGTTCGGTTAGCCCGCGTCGCCTCGACGTACATTTCTTCCATTGTGCGCAACCGATGGCGTATATCATCCAACTCGTGCTGGAGAGTAGACAAAGCCTCAGGGTCTGCCGCCTGGTTGACCCTTCGGGAGGTCTTTCTCGAGGTCCCACCTCGGCCTCGATTGGCCTTTGAAGGTTTCGGGTGAGCAAGGGGTAACTCTTGGTTTGCATGGCGGGCTGATCTCCGTGGAAGATCTTCCTCTTCCTTGCTCGAACCTGATCCTCGACCATTCTAGCGTCAAGGTCTTGCTGAGGGCCGTTATCAGCGTTCAAACCCCTCCGTTCTGTCGTATTGGCAGAGTTTGCTGGCTGCACCATCTTTGCGTATGTTTCTTAGATTGGGATGACTTAGATCGTATTCCTTCCCCACAGACGGCGCCAAATGTTTATACAAGAGTTTGCACAACGGTTCTTCGCGAATCAAGCTCGAACCCGGTCTCCGGTTTCGACCTGAACACTAGCGTGGACCTGCACAAGAGGGTAAGCACTCCGATGCTCAAGTCAGTATAGATCGGATTCTGTATTTAGTTCGAGGTGAGATTCGATACCTGAGCGTGAAATGAAGCCCTCTATTTATAGGTGATGGATCCGACAGTACACACGACCGGCGGTTATATGTCTTTTCTAATGTCGAACCTGTCGGGTTCCAAGCAGGTCGGACCCCAACCAAGTCGAACCTTGACGCCCATACTTAACCTTTTTATAATGGGCGAACCCGGTCTCCTCGGCAGGGCCAAGGTAGACCTAGGAAATTCCTCTTATTCAGTTTCTTCAAACACCAATAAGAGTCCTCCACGTGTCCTAGGTATATTTTACCCCCAAACAACACGTGTTATAGAAGAAAAT